GTTACGCGCTCGACCACGCCCACATTTGCCTCGGCCACGCCCAGCGCTTAACTCGATGCAACTAATGTATGTTAGTTGCATCGAGTTACGCGCTTTTAAATGAAAATCAATTTAAATGAACAGAATCACGCCATTTCTTCACAAAGTCACTCAACAATGTTTTTTTGAATATATTTCTATAATTGGAGGTGAAAAAACAAAAAGGAAAAMAATGASTTTTCTTCGGACGTTTGTATCATGATGCATGATATCAATGGAGATCAATGTGGGTTGTGTACTAACATTCAATTAATGATACGTCGAAAGCCSCTCGTTAATGGGTTAATTGAGGACGGACACAGAATTWAGCAAATAAAAATTAACTTGCATTGTGAAGATAAAGAGAAGCCATTTCTGTTAGTAGATTTAAAAAAGACGTACATATTGGTGTACGTGATATTCCAATTTATATTTCTATCAAAGGTCGAATGATAGACGAACCTTACATAAAGTATCTATTCCATCTCTCTCGCCAGGAGGCGCGTAAGGCCTKCACTCTATTTTTYMACCCAGCTCTGTCCCTTGCTGCTGTTTTGGCTTCATCCCAGCTCCTYCACCCTWCCCTGTTCCGATCTTTTAGTACTGTACTCCTCCATGTTATCTTTTGTTTCCCCTTTGCACTGCTTTCCWTTGGTGGTGTCCACTCCCAARGCTGTCAAACAATCATTTTCTTGCTCTCCCCTTATAAGTATATGCCCAATCCATTTCCATCTTCTTTGGCGTATTTTACTACTAATGTTCTCACCTTCTCCCACTTCCCTGACCCTCTCATTTGAAATTTACTCCCACCATTTAACATTATTTACTCCTCAGGATCCAGTTTTTCTCATCGTTGGTCGATTTCCATAAAATAATAACAAAACAGGTTCAACTAGCGAGTCAAACATTTTTAGTTTCGTCTTCATTCCAATTCCTCTCACTGACCAGACCCTCCCTAAACTACTTTAAACACACCAAGAGCTTTCTGAATACGGTTGGCAATGTCCTTATCTCCACCTCCTTCCGTGTCTACTGTTGCTGCTAATTATATAAACTCATCACTAGTATCCTCAACCTGGTGATAGTTGTACAAAATTATTCCCTGAAGAGGTCTACGTTAAGAGACGAAACAAGTACGAAATTAAAAACGTTTACAGCTCATATTCTAAAGGCTGATTTACACGGCACGATTGTCTCGTGCGAYTTGTAGTATACGACTTGAATCGCGCAGTGTAAATGCCCCTACGACTTGTCTACAACAGTCGTACGCAACGTACGACTTGTAGTAGGGTTTTGAAC